GGTACGAGCACCTCTACCTTCTCAAGCTCGGCTCCGGCAGTGCTCCCAAGCCCAGGCTATTACAGTCTTCCAAGGAACATCACTGTAGCAAACGCACAAAGAGCGAATGGAGCTTCTGACAGCAAAGCGACTGTCTACGTGGTGGAGGACCCAGTGCCAGTAGATAAATCTTCACATGAGATAGCCAAGGAGTACGGGCTTGACCAAGCCAACGCAAGAAGCCAGATGAAGTCCCTGGAGTCTTTGATTATCCAACCTCCAGATCCCTTCCAGGATGACCTGGTGAGCCATGAGTGGTCACGGAGCAATTGCTCAGATGCCAAGAGGGAAACAGCCAAGGAGACCAAGACTTGGACTTCATGGGGCCAGCCAGAGAAATCCGTGTTGGAAGAGGCCCCTCAGGACCCAGATGCCAAGCGTGGGCCTCCAACTGCCCCCAAGCCACGGAAATTGCCACCAAATATTATCCTGAAAACCAGCAAAAACAGCCCAGTGCCCCTAGCAATGGAGCCTGGCCAGAAGGTAAAAGCACCACTGCCACCCTCGGCTGGCTCTCAGCCTGGCTCTGCCAGCAACGCTGCTGCTGAAAAGGCGAATTCGGGGCATCTCGACCCCAAGGAGAGGGAGAAAGCCCGGCGGGAGGCGTTGGAGAAGCTTGGACTCTCACAGGACAAGAGGGAGCCCAGCACCCACCTTCAACCTACCATGCAACCCCAACCAAGGGAGATGCCATTCCATGTCACCGGAGAGCCCGAGGTACGCCGTGGGGCAGCAGAGAGGTCGGTGCCGGGTATCCGGCAGATGAACTTCAAATCCAACACCCTGGAGCGCTCCGGCGTGGGGCTGAGCAGCTACATGGCCAACGCCAAGGAGCAGAGCGTCAAGACCAGCAGCTCCCTGGGCAAGATGTCCTTCATCGAGCGGCTCGCCCCGAGCTTCCTCAGGAGCAACCGCCCCCGGCCGACATCCCTCGTAGCAGGGAAGGACTTTGCTGCTCTGAAGGAGCCCGGGCAGGTGGAGCCGGAGAAGAGCAGCAAGCGGCGATCCCACCCGCTACAGAGCTTCCCCAAACCGTCCCGCTCCAGTGTCAGCGTGAAGATTTCCCCCAAGGGGGCGACAGATGAGAACCGTCGGGAGGCACTGAAGAAGCTGGGTCTGCTGAAGGAATAGCCCCACGAGCCACGGGGCTGCTGGAAAAGGGGCTTTTCATCCCAGATCCAGGTGCCTTCACTGCCTGTCCTCAGGCAGCACAACCATAAGCATCTTCTGCTGTGATCTCCTGCCCCCGCATCTCGGGAGCGGTACCACCAGAGGTATTCGGAGCTTAACACCAAATAAAGTAACGCCCCATGTACATAATATTTTGTATATAGCAAGTGTGTATGAGCTATTTATATAAAGCATCACTCAGCATGTGGATGGGGCATATTCTCCTATGAGGTCTTTAATGCATTTGGGAATTCATCGCAAGAGGGAAGCCATGGAATTGGGGGTTTGGCTTATTTTAAAAGGGGTTGCCTGTGGATAAAGCCTCTCTGGGAAAAACCGCAGGACTCTGCTGCTCCTTTAGGATTTTGTGGTTTGTTTTGGTCTTTTTTTTTTTTTTTCTTTTTTTTTTTTAAACTTTTTCAAAGCCTCTGAGGCCTGAACGCTCACCTGCCCCATGCCAGCACCTCCCAAAAGCCACCACTGCCACATACAGAACTGTCAGACCGAGGGGGCTGGTGGGGGCTCAGCAATGCTCCCCCCATGCACGAGTGCTCCTCGCACAGCGCCGGCAGGGGAGAGGCTGCGCGGGCGTCCCGCTGCCTCCTCTCTCATCCACCCCTGACCACCACCAGGGTATAGCGCTCAGAAGATGCACAAGCATCAACGTGCAACGTGAAGTAACAGTTAAGAAGCAACAGACTGTGTTTTGGCAGCAAAACCACAAATGCTGCCCCAAACGAGAGAGATGCAAGTCTGGGACAACACCATGTCATTCCCTTTCAAACTCTCCTCGCATCTTTCAGACGCGGCTGATGCTGTCAACGCTTATGCTGCGCACCTTTTATAACAAAGGTGGTTTATTTCTGTAATAAACTTGTATATGGTCAGAAAATGACTGTGTAGTGCAGATTTATGTTGGAGTTAAAGCTATGGTAAAGCTAAATAATAAGTTTTAACCTTCAGTATGTCTTGACCCGGAGAGTGAGAGTGACGCAGAGAGCAGCCGGGCGTTGCAAATGATGAGGTCTGAACCAGAGACTTGGGCCTCCCGCAGCCCAGGACCCACACGAGATGGGATTTTGCCCAAGTGCCTCCAATACAATAAGCAGATGCAAAGTCTTCCATGGCACTGCCAGACTGGGATGGGTGTAATGGGACCTGCCATGGGTCCAGTCAGTCCCCGCCAACCTGCACCATCTCCTGGCTCTGTGGGGACATCTCCCCCAGCAGCCGTCTGAGTTGAAAAGCCGCACTAACAGCTTAACTTGAAAGGATCGTTTTATTTCCTTTACCAAAAAAATCTCTCCTGCAATCCTGGCTTTCAGTGTTAGACATCTAGAGAGAGACTCTGCTAATAAAGCAACCGCTTTTGTTCCTAACAGGCAATTTAATTCCAAACCGATGCAGGCTTTCTTTAGAGAGAGGGGCTGACCCGCGGAGGCAATTGCACTAAACAATTTACTGACGTTAATTAACTGCTCGCAGCATTAAGATAAAGTTGCCCTCAGTTGTTTTCATCGCCGACCTTGCAGTACAATCAGCTTTTCAAGACAGCGTTGTGAATACCAAACAGGCTCATACTGACAAAACCCAGAGCCGGGCTTCCCCCTCCTCCCCAAACAGGCACCGGCAGAGCGTTGGGTTTGCGTGGAGAGGAGGGGAGGGCATCCTTCCGAAAAAGCTGCTCCAAACCCCCACATAATGAAGGTGTGGGCATGTGGCGGGAATAGTACTGACCCACATAAAGAATCCAAGGAATGCGGGAAAACGATGCCTGATCAGCTGCACTTCGTGAAAGCAGGGGAAACGCTTGTTTGTAGCTAAGCAATTAACTAAATTAGTCGGGGGCTGGCCGGCAGTAATGCAAACCTGTACACACCAGGGAGGAACCGAGGAGAAGCCGCATGGGATAAGGTCTGACCGAAAACTCGGCAGGTTGCTCCGCACACACCGTGTTGCACATACAGTGCCTCCAAAAGGCGGACGGAGACGGGAAGGTCGTTGCCCCCCCCCAGCCCGAGCCCAGCGCCCCTTTTCCAGCCTGGAGCTGGGCGGGCAGTGGCCGGGCAGGACTGGTGAGCCGCGGGGACAACCACAGCCCCAGAGCCCCTTGGCCACCACTCGGGGATGGCTGTAAGCCCATCCTGGCTAGGGAGGCAGCTCTGCCACGTGCCTGGGGCATCACCAGCGGTTTAAGGGGTTGGGGGTGTGGGGGGGGAGGGTTAGGCAGGATTAAGGTTGTTTGCAGCGAGAGCCGTCCCCGTATGAGCGGGTCACATTAAACACAGCCAGAGCTGAGGTCCCCTCCCTGTGCCACCCGGTCCACGTGGCCTCGGGAAGGTGCCTCTGGGCTAACGTGTGGCCGAGGAGCACGGGGGCTGCTCTGCGCTTACAAACCTCACGTCCACGCCACGGGTGTTCACGTCCACGCCGCCCTCCTCCCCATCCGCCTGCGTGTGCCCGGGGCCACACGGCAGAAGCCAGAGGCAGAAGGAGCAGCTTGGTTTTAGGAAGTCTCCCCCGGATGCTGCAAAAAGCTCCGGGGAGCTGAGAGGCGGCCGTGTCCCCCGGCGAGCGCAGGATCCACCCAGCCGCAGCAGGGCTTGACGCCGGGTGGCACCGAGCAGAGCCGTGTGTCTGCTCTTGTGGAAGGTCCCAGCCTGGGAGCCACACAGCCCGTGGGGGAAAAACACCTTCATTTCTAATGGCTGCAAACGTATCTAGCCTGTAAAAAGTCATATTTTGCTCTCAGGATTACACAGCAACGCCTGCTTTTGAAGCGGGGCTTGGCCACGGTGAGCGATTCAGCCCAGAAGACCCAACAGCAGCAGAAGCGCTTCACCCCATGGAAAGGCAGAGAGATCGGGAGTTCACTCCCAGAGGAATGTCCCTGATCTCCTGAGGCTGTTTTTTTAATTTTTTCTCTTTGGTTTCCATTTCGTACCAACCAGGCCATGTGCACATCTCCTGTTAATGAACATCACTCCACCCCGTCGCAGCTCAATAAACAATCCTTGACAGTGAGATTTCTGCTAGGGAGTCTAATCAAAACTTCATGCTTGGCACATATGTCACACTGTAGTACTCCCTGGTTTTGACTAAATAAGCCAAGGATTGGAAGAGAATACTTTGTTTCCAAAACAATCTGTTTTTAAGAAGAGTTAAGGTTCCGTTTCAGGCCAAAAATGCTTTGAGGGAGACCTTAATGCTCTTGTCCTTTCTCATTAGACAAAGAAGGTGAGATTACCTTTGAGACTGCAACAGGCACGTACCTACGTTATGCAAGTGATGTGCAGTAAGGCAGAGCATTAAGTGGCACAGTAATGGAATCCGCAGTAGATAAAAAGGAGTGGTCAGAGGAGAGGAGCATATGGATGAAAATGCACCATTAAACCACCCTCAGTTTCATTATACGAGGAAGGATGAGGAATGAAATAAACCGCCTACATATTGCTATTCCTGCTAACACTGCAAAGTCCACACAGGTTTTGAAGAGCGTGGAAAATTTGGTCCTGGCAAACTTATCCACGGGTGCCAGCTCAGTTTTCTGTCTTTATGATATTTCTACATGGTGGCAGTGGACAGGAGAGGGAAGACAGAGCTCTGCTCTCCCAGGAGGAGCCGGCAGCCCTGAAGGAAACAGCTTCTGTCTCAGAACAGAGAAATTTGATCTAGAAAGGCAACGGGCCACAAAAGATGGAGCTCCCAGAGATCTTGCAAGAGCTGGCGTCGCAGCGCTCGCCCCTTCACTCAGAGCTTCATCTTGCATCTCCCCCTCCTCTTCCACTCAGACTGTGCTCTCTCTGCCTTTAAAGTCAATTATTTGCACTTGAAAGTCTACAGCCCGAGGAGCGCAGCGCTGGGTGGGAACCTCTCCTGCTGCCTGTCTGCGCTCCAGCCCGCTCGCTCGCCGCCCGCCCCTTCCCACCGGCAGCGCCCGGTGTTCCCGCTCTGCGTTGGCAGGAGGAAGCGGGAAGCAGCATCGCTCCCGGCAGCCCTGCGTCCAGTCACCCAGATAATTGCTCCCCAGCTCCGGCCCGCTCCGTGCCGAGGCAGCAAGGACCACAGGGAGCACAGCTCTCCTGCTCGGATGTAACCCATAACCCACAGACTCAAAGGAGGAGATTTACCTTTGCCGGAGCCCGGTGGAGTCTCCAGCAATGAGCCGCTCCTCAGCCAAGCGCCCATGGGATCCCCACCACCCCTTGGTGTAGGAGCAGCCGAACCAGCCCCAGTTGGCAGACCGGCAGGAGCCTGGGCAGGGGCTGAGCCTCTCTTTTATGAGGGGGAAAGCTGGTGGGCAGGCAGACGAGCTATGGGCTGCGGCAGATGTGCTCCTCCAGCCCGCCGGTACCCGCACAGCTGATGTGGGGAGCTGCAGTGATGCTGCTCGTCCCCCAGAGAGGCAAGGGGAAGGCTGCTCCTGCCTATTAACGGCGTTTGGGGGTGCCCGGGAGGTGGACGGGAAAAAAGCAAGAACAGGACCAAAATCTACCTCCAGGTTCAGCCAAACTGCAGCTGCATTCCCGGGCTCTTGTCTGGGTACCTCAGAAAACAGACTTCATACTGCTTAATTCTGGGCATCATTTGCTTGATTTGTGCCTGGAAGGCGAAATGACAGCAGACCCCAGCCAAGAAAACAGCCATGAAGAGAGATCATAGTATTTCAGAAGTAACCTGAAGAGCTGTTAAATGCACCCTCAGTGCCTTAATGCAGATTATACAGACTGTGTTTATACAGTGCAACAGTGTTAGAAAAGACCCAAAGAAAACATTCAGCTTTGCATTTTGCATGGAGTATTCATCTTCTCCTTAACTATCAGTCCTGTACTGGCTCAGACATATCATTTCCATGTCTACATGAGCCTGTCAAGACCTACTATCCCAATTAAAAGCATCCCTGCACACATCTTTCATTACAAAGATCAAATTCAGCAGAAGTGGTTTGTTAAATTCTGTCA